AATTTCATTTTTAGCCAGGTGCCAAATCTTAGTTATTTGGGAGGCTGAGATCAGGAGGATCCAGGTTTGAGACCAGCCCTGGAAAATAATCCTTGATATCCCATCTCCAAAATAACCAGAGCAAAATGGACTGGAGGTATGGCTCAAGAAGTAGGTGCCTGCTTTGTAAGCACGAAGCCCCCTGAGTTCAAACCCCAGTCTTACCCGCCAAAAATTTATTTTTATATGTGCATAAAAACAGCAACTAGTGATTATAACAGTGATTACTGCTAAAGAGGGGGAATGAGGAGCTTGTGGGGAGAAGTTTCACCTGTATTATAAACATATCTGTGCCATTTGAAATATGCAACGGTTTTGTAATTAAAATATTTTAAAAATAAATATAATGGTTCTTTTCCTTCCAAGTCATTTAAGACACTTTCTAGGGCTCTACTATGGTTTGGATGTGATTCGAGTATGTTTCCCAAAGGTTCATGTGTTGAGATGCAATCCCCATTGAGAGGTATTAAGAAGGTAGAAAGTTAGTGATTAGAGATGGGCTTTTGGGGGGTGATTAGGATCAGCTAAGGTCATCAGAGCAGAGACCCTGTGATTAAAAACTGGGAGCTCTAGAAAAAGAGGGAGAGTGGTATCAGCTACTCAAGAGGCTGAATTGGGAGGATCACTTGAGCCCATATGTTCAAGATCAGACTGGGCAAGCAAGACCCCATCTCAAACAAAACAAAACAAAACACAACAGGAGAAAAAAAAGGAAAGAGGTAAGAAGACACTCATGAGCAAGCCCTCATCTCTCGCCTGTCATGTCCTGTGCCTCATCAAGACTTCCAGCAAGAAAGCTATCATCAGATGTGGCTCCTTGACCTTGAATTTTCAGAATCATAATCCAACATAAATCTCTTTTCTTTATAAAGCTACCCAACCTCCAAGAGTAACATTATAGCAACAAAAAAATGACAACAGATAACTGAAAATCGTTTCCAAAAAGAATTAAGAACTATCCGAGGCTTCCCTACACTGTATGTACTATCTGGAGTTTGGAAAACACCAGGAAACCAAGCATTTCACACACACACACACACACACACACACACACACACACACACTATGCCATGCCATGTGCCTACTAGGTAAAAATCCTTTCTAATTAACATTCCTAATGCCTCCTTCTACCTACTTTCTCCCTCCAGCAGAAATACAGAATGTCACTAGCAATTCCTTGTGCTATTTTCTCTGCCTAGTAAAATCTTCAACACTGCTGTCAGACAGGGAAGATCTGATTGGGTCCCATGTGAGCTATAAAATTCATCCAGTGTTAGAGGGAGCTCTTGAGAGAAGACATGCTGCCTTTCCTCAGAAACAAATCCAACGAAATTTAGCATCCTGGGGACACATTCACATACCACAATAGCGACATAAACCCTCTCCTAAGCATCCTTCATAGACTGTCAAGGTCACGAAACTTCTCCTGCTCCTTATCCATAGGCTTTTGTTCCCCAGAAGCATCTCCATGATAGTATTGGCAATATTCTCCTCAGGAGTGGATCCATGAGCCCTGACACTAGTTTTATCCCGAACTCTTAACTGGTCATGAAAACTCCTTGATGAGCCTCAAGGCCTCACCCCACAGGACAGTAAATGGAGGTGTGGGGGAGAGATGTATGTACAAGTTAGTTCTGGGGACCAGAAGGAGGACCAGCCTGCCTGCTCTGGGAGTTTCTTTAACTTACCCTAGAAGACAAGGAAGCAACAGCCAACTCTCACCACTATTTGGGTATGGAATCTGGAACTCTTAGAATTTTAAATGAGAATAAACCAACTTCTCCTTCTCCTCGTCTTCCCCTTTCTCCTCCCACTCCTCCTCTTCCTCCTCCTCTTTTTCTTACTTCTTTTCTTCTTCTTCTTCTTAAGAGAATCAACTGGACTAAAAGTCAAAACTCTTTGGGAAACAGCCTGTTATAGACAGTTACATTTGATTTTCACTAAGCTTTGACAAAGCAAGAGATTAGAGTTGTGGTGTTACCACTGACCAGTCTCTAGAATAAAAGCTGGGTTCTGCTTTGCTTATTCAGAAACTCTAACTTATTACTCCTACCTGGTTTAATTACTTTGTCCTGATCATTTTACTAACACTTCAGAAAAGACATTTATTTCCTCTGAAGGGATCCCAATATAGAAGTGTACCTTACTTGAGACCAAAGCAGAACAGGCTTTGGAATTAGATCATCAGTGAAATCTTGAGCTAGAGAACTTAGCCCTCTGAGCTTCAGTCTGTTCATCTGTTACTTACAAGGACATATTTGTCCCTATCTGGTCAGGCTACCATTAGGATTAAATAACATAATACATATACAGAGCTCAGCATTGTGCTTCTAACAGATGAGAAGTCAAGAACTCATCATTATCTCTATAAAGTGAGACCCAGTCCCAATCTAAGACTTATGAGGTAGCATCACCCATAATTGCCCAGAACAGTCTCAAATCTCAAAACAAACAAATCTCAAAATTAGAACTTCTTGTCCTGGAACCACTTGTTGGATTTATCAGAGGCACAGAATTGATATTGCTATGAAATACACACACACACACCAATGTACCATGGAACTGATGCTACCAGGAGCCTTAAGCTGAACCTCAGGGATCTCACAAGGCACCTGAGTGGCCCCCAGGTTTGCCTCTGCACAAAACTATGAATAGGAGTTTGTTCATTGCCACCAGTGGTCAAGTCAAAGAGAGGTGACAACAGGAACAGTGAGGATGGAGTGTGGAGAAGGCTCCTGCTGCAGTCAGGGAACAGTGCTCTGAATATATCTCAAACCCTCACAGGCAGCATCCTTCTTCTCTCCAACCCTGTCTCTGACTTCAGTGCCCACCCCAAGCCAGGACTGTGACAGGTGCTGGGGAAAGGAAAGTGAGCGACATTCAATCTCAGCTCCTAAAGAGCTCCTGGCCTAGTAAGCATGACGGCCACTACAATGACAGCTACCAGATGAGAAAGGGCATTCAGAATGTTCTCTGGAGTGAGCCTGGAGAAAGAAGAACAGCTCACACTTGCTGTTAGTGCCCTTAGTGTGTATAGCCCTCAAAGAAAATCCATTAACAAGAATGTCCTGACTACTCACCACATTGGTTTTCTGCGTGGCCCTGGCCCACTCCACAGGACTCTGCCTGTCGTTCAGATGTTCTGGGAGACTTCTGAGCCACATCCAGGTCCATGCCTGAGAGTTGGAGGTGAAACTGATCTCTGTGGACAGCCTTCCTCAGCGTGCGAATGGCCTTCCGCAGCCGCTTCTCTGTCCGCTTTACCATGCAGCTCAGATCGCAAGAAGCTACAAAAACAAGAGAGGCAGCAGCCCGGGAAGAGGTCAGGCTGCACTGTGGGAGGACGTCCAGATCAACTGCAGGACCCACCAACACCCTGAGTTCCCAGTGGACTGAAAAGGGAGACACCTGGAGGTGGACACCTAGCAGTCTGGACAGCATTTGATTCAAACAGAAATTTGTCAACCCAAAGGGTAGTTTTGAGTTTTTATGAATCAAACAAAAATCATCAGGTCCTAAACCAATTCAATGTAGTTTGGGGGTGAGAATAAAACAGGAGATACTTCAGTGTTTGCTAGCCTCCCCCGCCCCCAGGAATGATGAAAAGTGAAAGGCAAAGAAAAAGGAGCAAGCTGTGAGAAGCCTGGCATGGTAGATGGCTTTAGACCAACCTGTCACCTCCTTTTGGTAAGTTTCACGCTCAAACTCAACAGTGATAAACATTTCCTTAGGGGCGCTCAGTCGGCCAGGGGCTCCCGGGACTCGCTTGCCGGAGCTGCATGTAAGGTTTGCGTAGCGGAAGCTCTCTTTTACTGAGCTCTGCTGCTCTGTATGAAGAAACAAAACCATCGGAAGCCAAGTCCTGGCAAAGCACTCAGCTGAACATTCGCTAGTGCTCTGTAAACATTTCATTAAAACAACTCTCCAGGGATTACATGATTAACTCCACATGCCGAGCCATTGCAAGCCCCCAGTTTGGAGCCTGGTAACATTTTCATTTTGAAGAGCCAGTATTGCCGCCTATATAACTTTACAACCTAGCTCTTGAAAATTCTTTTCATGGGTGTTTCTGACTGACCAGCCACATATGTGGAAGACCAGACCAGGGGTCCTTTTGCATTCCCTGCTAACGGTTCGCTAAGGGGCACCCGTGTTCCCACAGTTGGTTTTCTTGAAGCTAGGCTGATGGCCCGAGTAGAGGCTGAGGCTTCAAATAGGGAAAGAGCACAGCAGCAGAAAGGAAACCAACTCCTGCTTTCAGGAGAACTGACCTTGGTGCAATTCCGACCCAAAGGGCAAGTTGGAAAGCACATCGTTTTAAAAAGAACCAGGAACAGCAAGTGACACAAAGAGTCAACTAAACCAAACAGCATCATGAAGGCATCCAGGATGACAGCGGGATGTTTGTGGAAGACAGGGCTTTACACATCCCTGTTTCCCCACTGGCTGGCTGGATCCCCTGTCCCCATGGCTTCCAGTGAATCTGTTGACTAAAGACTGTCAACAAACCAAACCAAACCAAACCAAATCACACGATTAATTTGTCTCTGCTTTGGAACCTTACTTTACTCTACTGAAGAACAATTTATACCACATTCTTCTTTAATATTACAAGGACATTCAAAGCAACTGGTATCCAGGGGCCAAAGGGAAGAGGCAAATTCATTTCCTCTGTTTTTCTCCCAAAGATCTTATTTTGCCTTTTCAAGAAGCTAACTTCAAATCTTAAACTAAACAGATATTCATTTTGAACTTTGTTCCTTTAAATTTTCCCATTTTTAAAACGGTTTATTTCAGGTAAGTTTACATTTATAGAAAAGTTGCTAAGACAGCATAGAGTTCCCATACACCCATCACACAGTTTCCCCTAATGTTAACACCTTAATTTAACATCAAATTTATCAAAACTAAGAAATTAGTACTGTTGTAATCCCATTAAGTAAGTTCTTTTTATGATGCTAAGGATCAAATTCCAGGGCCTTATACATGCTAGGCAAATGCTCTTACCACCAGTCCCTCAAAACTCATTTTAAATAATATTTTCCTCCAACTTAAAAGTATAAAATTCAAGAATATGGCAAATGTAGAAAAAAATTAAAATCACCCATCATCCTCCCACCCAGATATTACCACTACTAATGATATAAGTGAGCTTTCCATTCTTTCCTTCTACTTCACTTTTCATATACAATTTGGATTGTATTAAATACAAAAAATGTTACTGTCTCCTTTTTTTCTTCTCACAATATAACAAGAACATTTTCGGATGTCATTAAACAGTCTGAATACATACAATAAATAGCTACATACTATTCCATCAAATGGAGGTGCCAAAATTAATCTTGGTTAGTTATCAATAGGCAGTTAAAAGTGACAAGAGTGAGCTTTGTGTTTGTTTGCTCATACGATTTTTTTCTTTTTTTTGTGGAACTGGGGATTTAGCTCAGGGACTTGTGCTTGCTAGGCAGGCATTCTGTTCATAGGAATTATTTAAGGGTATTTTGGGGAAAGAAACCTTCCAACACCTAAATCCTATTTTTTTCATCTCCAGAAGTATTCTCTGAAATAATACTGGGAATGTAAAATAAGGAAGAAAGAAGAGTGTTAGATTCTGCTTGCTTCAATAAGGCCAGTTATACTTGAATACTATCTGTTCTGTTGAAGCCAATGGAGTCACAGCTTCCAAAAATTAAACCAGTAGGAATGCTGGACATTACATCTTTGTTTATCAAAGTTATCATTTCTGAGCCATCTATTTTTCTTTCATTGCTTTGGCTTACATGCCAGGCAAACTCTAAGATCTAGAATATTTAACCCAATGTAATTACAAGTTGCTAATTTGTGTGAAGTCGTTATTGACTCATACGAACTCCAGATTTTGCCAGAGCTTCACCAACTACCTCCTCACAAAGTGCCGAGGTATACCCCCAGAAATACAGAGGCACACTAAGCCAGGCTCTGCTTCCTCTGGTGAAGAAAGTTCCTGTGGATTCTGAATGTTCAGTCCCAACTGAAGTGTGTTTGAGTCAGCTACACCTCTATCTGTGTGCCCCTGGCCCGGCAGCTCAGCTTGTCACAGGCCCCTTTCCCCACATATAGGCAAGCTCCCTACACCAGCTGTCCGATTCCGTACCTGGTAGTGCTGGTCGCAGACCCTCAGGAAACAGCTCAGCCTTTTTCAAACTACACTTGCCTTCATTTACCTTAAAGGTTATACTTGTCCTGATGGTGGTGACATCTTCAGAAAGAAATAAGTGAGAGAAGTTACCCTCAGAAGCAAAGGAATGGAAACACCCAGGTAAGTGTTGGCGAGCTATCCGTTGGCTGGGTCCCACACCCTGCCCCTCTCTCAGCTAAGACCAAGAAAGATTTGGCTCATGAACTGTCCATTACCCTGCCCTGTGACCACCTGGAGCCTTCTCAGAGTTAAGCTTAATACCTTATGGGAGAGACAGATCCAGTGTTCCAACATAACAAAGAAAAGACCCAAAACAACTTCTACAGTGAAATAAAAAGAGGAGGCCATTGTTGTGACTTCCTACAAAGGAAGGCCAGTACTCTCCAGCTCAAATGTGGCTAGAGTTTTTGAGGTAAACGGAAAGGGAAGACTCTCCTTTGTGTGCCTGCCCTGGGAGGACAGGGCTGAGGAGGCTGCCATTCCAGATGTGGTTAGGATTTCCAGGGTCTGGGAGAAAGCCAGGGTGCCACTTTGAAGGGCTGATGTGCAGAATTCTGTTCTCCTTCCAGAATCTGTCTTAAACACATGTGTTAGGCTCTGGAGCCCATGACCTAGATTAGAATTCCAGCTGTTTGGCTTGTGGTAAGAATTTGAGCAAGTTCCTTAATCTCCTTAGTTTCAGTTTCCTCATTTGTAAAACAGACACAAGTAAGCACCTATATTACAAGACTGTTATGAGAATTAAATGAGACAATGCCAAAAAAATGTTTAGCCTACTGTGTGGTACATAGCAAAAACTGAGAAACTGTTATCTATTTTACTTGCCCACCCCTGGGGTACTCCAAATCACCAAGGAATCATCACTGGGGGATTTGGTGAAACAGACCTTGTTGCCCCCTAGGGCTTGGTCTAAATGTCCAGTGAAAAGGGCAGCAAAGGAGAGTACTTCAGACTCTGAATCCAGACTGTCTGGATTCAACTCCTGGCTCATCTGTTTCTTATCTGAGTCACTTTGGGTAAGTTATTTTACCTCTCTGATCCTCAGTCTCTTTGTGTGGTTAATGAGGATAAAAATAAGATTGACTCAGAGGGTTGCAGTATGGATCAGATCAGATCATTCATATCATATGGTGGCTGGCATATTTTAACTGCTCAGTTAATGTCTTACTTTGGGTCTCAAGATGCATTGTGGGCTTCATTCACTCATTCGGATGTTCTCATGACATAATGGTAATATCTCCACATCTGGGAAAATTAGCCCTTCTCAAAACTTTGGATTTCAGTCTTGGTCTTTTGACAAACTGCAAAGGGTTTGGGCCCCTTTTCTGAGACAGAATCCTTGCTTCCCTTGCCCAGTAATGTCATAGGCACATTTCTGCTCGACCTTTGAGGTGTGTGGGGTATAGGCAGTTTGAGAGGCCTGAATCTCCAGTTCTAGAGCTCTGTGGGCCTCTGTCCAATGATGACCCACCAGGGCTGAACAGGACAAGCACACAGTGGACACTGAGCAGGCACCTGTTATGCGGGTGAGTCAGATTTCAGGCACCATGGCTGCAAACAAGAACACCCTGTAACATGCTCACAGCACCAAGATTAAGAAAAAAGAAAACAAAGCTGATGCCCCTCACTAATGAAACCCACTGAACACAATAAGCACAGAGAGAACATGTAGATTTGGTAATTACCCCCAAAAGCAGAGTCATTTGTTTTTTGCTGTTTGTTTCTGGGAGAAGAAGAGCCGCAGGTGACAGAGTAGGCCTCTTGCAGTCCTGACAGACAGAATGTGGATTGTCAAATGTTTAAGCAAAGTTATAGGTTATTCTGGTAGTAACTGAAATCACCCCCACCCCACTCCACATGGGCAAGGAGAGGACTGCCTAGGACAAGGGCTTTCAAAGCATGGGCTTCTGGTGGTCAGGAAGTATCTGGTCAATGGCCTGAAAGGCCTTTGAGGTTATCAAACACCTACAGGTAAGGCCTGACCCTGGCATGAGGTTCTGTCCAGAGACGGGCACTCACCTGAAGAGAGGTGAATACCAGAGTAGCACCTGAGGAAGCACCTGTCTCCGCCACCGCTCTTACCACAGTGCAGGGACACACGGGATGGCACACTAGTGGGCGGGAGCCCCTTTGCTTCTAGACAGGACAAAACACAGACACTTGTGGAAAGAAAAGGACATTTCCAAGTATGAGAAGGATGGCAAAGTCCTGTACACCAAAGGCTCTAAGAAAAGAAGGCAGAGCTGACATCCAGACAGAACAGACACCAGGCCTCATTTCCCAACAAGATCAAGGAGCTCCTGTCTCGTAATTTTTTTTTTTTCATGCAGAAAAGCAACCGGAAAACAGAAGTTAAGTTTCAACCTATGCAGAAGCACAGAAGGAAATGCCAAAGAGCCTGCAAAGTATCTCCTGTTTTCAGACTGTTTAAAGGGTGGCTGCTGCCACAGAGGGGAGAACTCAGTGAAGGTCAGGTGCACTCCTGGGACATGGGAGGCACAGAGCCTTTCACTTTGGGCCCACAGTGAGCACCATGGCCAAGTCTGCACCACAGCGGGCTGGCACCCCTTACCCACACAGTCTTTTTTATTCCAGTGGAGCTTGTACCCGGGATGGCACTGGCATTCGTAGCCACCCACTGTGTTCGCACAGACCTGCTGACAGCCTCCGTTGTTGATACTGCACTCGTTGGTGTCTGTGGAACAAAATGCTCCCCTGTCACAACAGCATGTCATCGCTAACACTATCCCTCCTTGAGGAAGGAGCAGCACGAGAGTCACATGACTGACAGTGATTTTCAGGATATGCACTTGGCACATGCTGGATACACACCACTCCCCAGTGGCATGAGCCCTGCTGGAAAGATCTCAGGTTCCATTCTTCACCATGCCATTGTCCCTCCCCCACACACTCAGAAGGGACCAACCACTTGCACTTGCAGATTGTGCAGGCTTCTAGGAAAACCACACCCTCCTCTGGGGTATGCACCAAAAGAGACAGACAGAATTAAGATCCCCCTATTTGGCTATTTCCAAAGTTGAGGTACAGAGAAGAGAAGCCATGTATACTAGTCCTCTTTAGCCTAAGACTGAGTCCAGGTCAGAAACTGGTTCCATCTAATCCCAGATTCATATTTGCATTCAGGGTTCATTTCATTGGGGTTTCTTGGTGGACTGGGTAGAGTGTTTTTAGTCACTGGGAATATGTTGAGAAGGAGAAGAGAGTCAATGTATCTATAGCAAACTACCACTGTCCACTCTGCTTAAGCACATGAGGGCTGGACACCAAGTATTCCTGTCAGTGGATCCCAACTCTCACAGGTCCTTAAAATTATTTTGGAGGCCTCAGGCATTCTGGACTGGAGGCTAAAACTGTATTCCCAGTGATTACTGGGTGAGCTGGTGAAAGGCACAAGTGATAGAGTGCCTGCCTAGCAAGTGTGAGGCCCTGAGTTCAAACTCCAGTACTGCTGAAAAAAAAAAAAGATCAATGATTGTTGGGTGAATATGATGGCCAAGGGAATTGCACATGAGTTAGTTGGTACCACATGTGATTTATGCCACAGTCTTGCTTGACCACAAGGTTTTGAGACATGAGAACATATTGTTAAATGGGTGCAGAGTGGAGAGATAAACTCAATTGTTTCCACTTCTAGCTCCAAAACCTAACTGTGGGACTTGAACTAAGACAGGCTTTGCAGCCAGGGCCCAAGCACAGCACTGTGGATTTGAGGGTGCTCTGCCAAGGGCTGTGGATTAAAGAGTGCTCTGCCAAGTCTTTCTGAGGTCTTCTGGGAAAGCCTAGCAGACAGGGTCTCAGCTCTTGCAAGAGCCTCTCATTCTCTGTACAGAATGGCAAGTCAGTAAAGTGAACCAAGAATTCACAGCTGAAAGAGCTCAGTTCCTCTCTCTGCTCCATTGCATACTTGATGTGTTCAAGGTACAAATGGGGCAGATTCCCTTCAGCACATGCTTCTCTTGAGTCAATGGACTTGTTGCCACTGTACAGAAATGTATCTTTCACCCCAATTAGGACAATAAACCTCAGGGGAGGGCCCTGCTCCCACCAAGCCCAGCCTCACTTGAGAGGGGCAGCCGCTCACCTCCACAGTGGGTGAAGCCATAGAGGGTGTACCCTTGGTTGCAATCACAAGTGAATGTGCCAGGGTAGTTGATGCAGCTGTGGTCACAGGTCCGATCCAAAGAGCACTCATCCACATCTGTAATTGTCAAAGGGAGAGGGAACTGAAGCCAACTCTGGCAGGTAAGTGGGGAGGTTTGTAACAAACACCAGGTACTGACCAACAACAAAAACAACACACACAGAAGGAAAAACTATCTACTCATTTTCTTCCCTCACTTGCGTCACACAAAATGTTGAGCAGCCCATAATAAGTATAGTCATGGCCAGTGACCTTATTTCCAAATTCTGTTCCAAACTGCACTTGCCTTGAAGCTTATTTGATATCTCTCCCACCCATGCTTATTGATAGGGCTAAATAATGTAAATTATATAAATCATACAAATTATATAAATTATACAAGTGAGGATTTTATAAATTATAACAAATAATGCTAGCTATACATTATTATTATTGTATTATTATTGGTAAACAATAGTAATATAACCATAATTTTAGAAGCTATGGTGAAACAAAAGAAAAAAATACTTGGGTTAGAGGTAAACCTAGTTCCCATTTCTTTCTGAGCTTTCCAAAGTTAGTCTTCTGGCCCCAAAAGGCCAGTTAATCCTGGGTTTTAATGCCTTCAACAATAAAAAAAAAAATAAAATAAAACTCCATTAACACTAATATACTAATTTTCTATGGCAGACATTGACATTAGGTGGTTATACTATAAACTGGATCCACTCAGTCAATCTCCTGGTTTTGTTCCTGCCCCGTGGTGCAGCTCCCATATGCCCACCATCTTCCTGGTTCAGTGGACACACTCTTAGCTGCAGCACCACGAGGCTGCATTTGCCTAAATGATCATGTCTTCTTCCCTGGTCTGGTCCTCACATCTTTCCTGCAGACTAGATTTTCAGTGTGTCACTCCCTCAGCTCTTTGGAGGATTTTAACAGTTACAACTTGTGACTCCAAATGGATAAGCCAGGACCAGTGAAGCATTCAGTGGAAGCCAACCAGACTGCTGCTAGACCACGTTTTCAACAGTGAATGTGCCATGGGAGACTACATTAATAAAAAACAAACATTTGGATGGATCAGGAAAGATGAAAAAGCAATATAAAAAAAGGGCAAATTCTTGCAAATCCTTTTTATCCCTAGCTTTTCCCAGAAATTCTGGCAATTTCTTCAGCAAATTTGTTCTGTGCAAATATTTGTTCTACCAAGACTGATCACTGAAAAATGGAAAAAAGTCAGATTCTTTCCTCTTAATTGATGCCATTCTATGAAATCTGCTATTAATATCAGCCAGTTGCTGAGAAAGCAGACCCGTTCAGTAGCTGACTTTGGCTGCTCACTATGGGCTTTCACTTTGCCAAAAATAATGAGATCACTTTCCTAATTCCTTTTTAATGTGTTTACACAGTTTAAACGGTATTGCTCGCTCTATACATTATGTGGTACAGCAAATTTGCTTTCCAAGTCAAACTGAAGAAAACCACACAATGATCACTTAGAACGAACTCACTGGATGTAAAGGAGAACATATTACCTAGCAAATTATATTAAGAACGAACCAAGAGGAAAGAAAAACCTAATTTGCACCATAAAGTTAACAAAAGATAATGTTCCATTTTATTGTGTGAAATGAAATCGTACATCGTATTCTGATTTTGATTTGATGCTGAGATTTCTAACAAAGTAAGGTAGTCCTTATTGCCAGAAGTGGATAAAGAACAGAACATCTTTACTGAGAACTTCTTCCTGCATATCAATAGAACATAAAAGGTACTCATCTAAAACTATAAATGATGATGTGCCCCAAGACCTTATCACCCAAAACAGTTGTTAATGCCAACAATTGCTGCCTAGGGAAGTCCTTTTTCTGCCTTCCATATGTGAAAATCATGTATGTGAAAAGGGACAAGCAATCCTATCCAAGGGCCAACAGTATCTCCTCCCCACAGCTCCCCACCCTACTTCTTCATTCTCCCTCTCTCAGCATCAGAAGCTGGTTATTCAAAACAAAAGCTATAAGTAAGAGACCAACTGATTCCTGGTCTTGATTATGGTTGAGCCCAACTTTTTGCTAAGAAGGTATGGTTACCTAAATCTACAGATTTATTGCCACCAACTTTTAGGAAATTTTAGAAAAGGAAAGTTATTCATAATTTCAACATAGCAGTACAACCCTACTTACATTCTGTATTCCGTTCCATTTCTAGCAACAAGCTTTACTGTAATCACACCATTTAATGGGTTTTTTGAGGTGTTCTCTAATCATTAACAGCTAAATTTCCAAAATAAACCTGTGAGCTACATCAGTGGTTTTCCTCTAACAGATGAAATAAGTGAAGCCCAGGTTGGAGGTTGGATTAGTGACTTTGTCAGGAAGCTGGGTGAGTCGGCCTGTGCCACGCTGGAGGTTTTATCTTCTCTGTTCCAACCAGAGGGCCACATGTTCAGTACATACCTTGGCAAGATTTCTCATCTGTTAATAACTTAAATCCTTTTTTGCAGCTGCAGTCAAAACTGCCCACGGTGTTTTTGCAGAAATGATCACAACCTCCGTTTCGGGTCTGGCACTCATCGATATCTGTAATAGGCAAGGGCTAGCAAATCAAAGAGCAATACTTGCTTTGCTTCCCACAAATCCCTAAAGTGCTATTGCGTGTGCTCATTATTCTCTGAAATAAGAGCAGACCCATAAAAGCATGTAAGAATGTTCACTGATGATTTTAATATTACACATGTTTTCTTGTCTGGCTAAACCAATTTTGAAAGACAAGTGCCCCATCCAGGTAAGGACTCTGACTTCTGATGCCCTTGACAAACATTAAGGAAACAAATGCTGGGAATCAGTGATATCCTGTTATATTCTTATCCTGGAGTTTCTCTCAAGATAAGATAGCTTTCATTAGTATACTTTCTATTGTAGCTTAATGATTAAAGCTGTAAGAGACTAGAGCATTTGTTTTGGCAAATCGTACAATGATCAGATAGATTTTTTTCTACTCAATCTTATCTTTTCTGTTTCATCTCATAACTGGTTATCTGTTTTTTATCATGCTAAAGAGCTAATCCTTTGTACTTTTGCCCATGAAATACTAGCAAGTCATTGGGGTCTGTCTTCATCAGTAAAAGTTAATGTACAGTTATTCATTAAATGCTCTGGATAATAATCTTGGCTGCTATTTACATAATGATCTGGAGGTTATTATTTATGATAGGTTGATATTATCTCCTGCCAATGAATGTTTCCTTGAAACGTCTTTTTCTAATAAGGCCACTGCCTAAAATGGATCATTTGATGCTTGTAGAGACTGACCTTCTCAGCAGTTAGTGTAATTAAGTTGGTTCTAATTAAGCTTACTCAATTATAACCGTCCACCAGCCCAGGGAGGAAAAACTCCCATCAATGTGAATCATAAGCAAATCTAGAGTCACTCAGAGGGTGTGGAAGAGAAGAGCTGCCCCCACCCCCACATCAGCGGCATAGGGCTCCCTCCTTCCAGCCCCCCAGCTTCTGGATAGGGGAAGGCTACCTTTACATGTCTTCCCATCCAACTGGAGAGTGAAGCCGACAGGACAACTGCAGTGAACACCTGTTGAGGTGTCCTTACAGGTACGATCACAGCCTCCATTGTTGACAGCGCATGTTTCTGACCAAGGAGGTGGAAACCGGCAGTTAGCTTCCTAAAGAGGTGCTGATACAACTGTTAATATTTGACAAAGTTTGTGAAAGTCAGGAAGCATGACAGGGTACTCATGGTCACACCCCAAGTCTCTGCCACCTGCAGGTGAGATAGAGAGAAGAGCAGGTGCAGCTCTTTCCACTCATCAAATGGGTTATAGTTCCTGAGAAAGTTGGTCAAGGTGACCAAAGGGATAAAGATGTCCTCAGCCTGCAGAGTAGAGCTGTTCCCCCACTCTGGGCAGATTTAAAGCCACTAAAGGTCCATGCTGATTCACAGGCAGTAACCTGCTAAGTCTGACCACATCTGGGAGGCTAGGTTGAATGCAGAACAGGACAAAGGGGGATGTTTTTTCTTAATCCTGAAACTTCTTTTTCAATCTGAGCAATGGGTACAGCAGAAAAGGGTAAGCATTGCCTACTCCAACCATTCCCTTGTTGCAGCTAGTGACTTTATCCTTGCAACTGCCAATTTACAAAGAAATTTAACTTTCTCTGAAGTTACAAAGGCCACAACATGAAAAATAAGCCACAGTTGTTAAACTGCAACTATGAAGATGAGGAACAATAATTAAATGGCCTTCTAATTCTTCATTTTGTGCAGTTATTCCATTTAATGGGCAAGTACTCCTCAACAGACATTCAACCGTTAGCCCTTACGCATCCAGAAGCTTCCCAAACTGCCTCATTTTATAGCCTGGGGGAAACAAGCTTAGTTTTAACCAAATATGAAAGCAATAATGTGGATGTTTATCTGTGTTCCCTCTCAAAACCTCTCTAAAATGAGAGTAAGTAGATTTTTAAACATGTAAATTCTTAAGGACAAAGAGGAGACAATAGATTTTTTTAATGTCAAATATTCTGGAAGTAGCATGTCAAAAGAGGAGCAGTAACTGGAGTAGCAGAAAGCTAAATCCTAAGGGTCTGCAGAGGGGTTGTCAGTAAATGGTAAAGCTCATATGAACCAAAGAATCCCAGGAAGGTCCAGGCATTGGAGGTATCAAGTTGCACTAGAAACAGATGAGGATGGAGTTAAAGTAGAGTGATTGAGAGCCCATATAAGAAACCTCTAGAGCTCTTTCTTAATTCCACACAACCACCATATTACCACCCCTTTCCTATTCTGGCTGTAGCCAGAAGTTGGACCAAAGATAGGTCAGCAATAGTAGAGGAGAGAGAGGCTCAGTCAGATGAAAGTCTGGTTCCTGGAAAGAGAGATCTCAAACTTATACCATCCCCCCACCACCTCAGCTCCCAGAAAGCTGGCAGCTAAGCCTATCTCCTCCCCAGTCCGAGGCTGAAAGGTTCCTCTCCAGCTAAATGACCTGCCCAAGTGAAAAAGACATAGATATTAGCATTTGAGGATCTAAAACATCAAAGTAAAATTCTTCAAAATACATGACAGCAGAAATTTGAAAAAGAATTTGTAGAAAGAATAGAATGAAGAGTCTCCTAGAAAGTAGAACAAAAATACAAAAAGAAAAGAGAAAAATAGAGGACTGATTCAGGAGTTACAGAAGCCAACTAATAGAAGTTCCAGATAGAAAGAAAAGAGAAAATGGAGAAAAGAAAATTGTCAAAGAACCAAGGAACTTGAATACTCATCTTGAAAAGGCCTGTTGAGTACCAGCATGGCAGATCGGAATAGTTCCACAGTAGGGGATATTATTGTGACATGTCAGATCACCAGGGACAAAGAGAAGATCCTGGAAACTTCCAGAAAGGAGTTTTCACAGGTTTTACACAAAGAATGGAGAGTAAGAATGAAAACATTGGAGCACTAATGTTAAACCTTTGATGGAATATTCTTTCCAGTTGTGAATTCTAACTGAGCCAAATTCTCATTAAGGAATGAGGATAGAATATGAAGGCATTTTCAACCATGCAAAGCTTTTAGAAACCTGTATCTCACAATGTAAACTGACAAAGGACAAGACATGAGATCTGCCAAAACATGAGAGCTGTGAAGGGAATTCTTAGGCCCATGGGAAAGACCCAGCTGAGAGAGGAGCTGCTGGCCAGGAGTCAGGCCCTCCTAGAGCACTGGGAAGCCTCAGAAGAGATCTGTCAAAGGAGAAAATTGAGTTGAGAAGTGTCCTGCAGTATTTGAACACATTGGAAAGGCTTCTAGAGAGCTCTGCCAGAGACTAGCAAAAGAAATGGTAAGTGGTACTTAGAAAACTAACTAAAGAAAGAAAACACAATCACAGCACATTATGTGACTTGGGTGAGTCCTACGTAGACTCATAGTCACAATAACATAAACATATACTATTGAATTAAATTGTGATAGAACTGTATTAAGGGTATGGAGGCAGGGTGGATGTGGATGTGGTAGAGAGAGGAAACAACAAAAGCTAAAACCTAGTCTTCCAAAGTGGGAAGTCAAAAGCTACTATCTAAAACTGACACATCACGAAATAGCTGTAAGCTATGGGCGTGGCTCAAGAGAGGAAGCACCTGCCTAGCAAGCACAAGGCCCTGAATTCAAACACCAGTACTGGAAAGAGAGAGAGAGATGAGAATTGTGGACTCTGGTGGGATAAGAAAATGAGACACTATGAGATAAAGAAATAATATTTCATTGTAAGTCCAATGGTGATTAAGTTTTTATGGTATTTATATGTGCTGTTTTAGTTTAAGGTAATTAAAAATACAACTTTTAAAGAGCAGAAAAGGGCTCAGAAAGGTTACCCACTTGGTAACCGATGGCTGCGCAATATCTTATCTGACTAGTAAATCCAGAAGCTGTCAAAAGATCAGTTCTATTCAAGATGAGCCAAACTCTCTCCAGAATAATGTGTCAAAGCCTCTGTCTGGCCCCACCCCCACAGCCTCGTCCTCTGCTCTCTCATCTCTACCTCAACTGTCAGGCCTGCTGGCCAACCGTCCCAAATTCCCAGCCAAGTGCCACTCTTCCCCATTCATCTCTACTGATAACTGGCTGAGTCAGAAATGGAAGACTCAGCAAGCATAAAAACAGACAAATCGCCATGTTAAGCTAGAGACTGCCCAAAGTGCCTCTGTCATTGCAGCTACTCAGAAGAAAGGGAACTGACATTCCCTGGCCATCCACTATGTCCCAGGCACTGGACTCTGGGCATGTTTGCATATTCTTATCTTAATTGAGCTTCCTGATAGGCCTAAGAGGCAGATTTCATTACATTCATTTGAAAGAAAGACCTTGAGATATTCTCAGAGCGGTTTGCCAAATCTCATAGTCAGTCAGGCAACACCAGAATGTCAACCTTATTATTCTGACAGCTTGGCCAGCCCTCTTGCCACAGTACCAGGGGTCTTGGATGGTGACTAAGCAACAGCAGTGGATAAAGAATAGACACTCCCCAGCTTCTAAGAAGCTGTTCTTCCCAGTTCAGCTGGCCTGAGGGCACATGGTCCCCAAGCTCAGGCCTGATGCAGTGAGCTACAGAGGGAAAGGCACAATGACAGTGCCCAGGGAGGGGGGAGAGGAAGTGCCTACCCATGAGCAGCCGCCGCTTCACCCGCTTATCCCCATCAGCTGCTGAGGTGGTGTTGCTCTCTGTCACCTCCAGGGTCGCATCTTCTCGCTCTACAGAAGAAGCAGAAGACCACAGTTCTCAGGCGGGATTAGTCAGGTTATTTATCACCTGCACAACCACTTCTGCTGAAATTGCACACTCAAAAACAATGTAAGATGTGTGACTCTGTTCGCTCAATAAAAACGTGTGAAATTGAGGCTCTGCACGAAACAGTGTACTACATGGCAGTGGATCCCTACAAACACTAAGTATGGAAAAGGTTTTGGAAGTATATTGCACTGACCAAAGAGATACGTGAGATTCAAGCTTCAGATTCACTCCAGTGTCCCTTAGTTCAGGACAAAAAAGGACCTGGGCCTGAAAACCTCTAAATAGAGATAGCAAGGACATACCACGAAGGAAACGGTAGGCATCCCAATAGAAATATGCATCCCTGTCTCCTGCTGACTGTAAAGGTTCAGATGACACAGGAGTGTCATCACAAACAGCTAGATCTAACTTCCTGTCATCCTGGCCCTCTGGGATGTGTTGTCCCAGTCTCCAAAATACCAGCAGGTTGTACAGGGAGAGGGGGACCTCCATTCTCAAACCAGGCCATTCCCACTGCAGCATGTGAAGCAGCACAGGGTGTTTGGGCCAGATCCACCAGCAACACCCTGCATCAGGTGCTGAACACCATTAAGAATGAAGGGTTAAGGTTAGGGTTTGGGATAGGGGTGAGCAGGCTGGGGAAGACCCTCACCCAGAGTGAGGGTTAGCACTCACCAAGGCAGCTCCTCCCATCTGTGTGCAACTTATACCGTGGATGGCAGCTACATTCGGGGCCTTCAGATGTATCTTCACAGGAGTGCTGACACCCACCATTTCCATGGTTACAGGTCACTGAGAACAAAATGAATCAATACATAAAGCACTGGGTTTTCCACAATTAGGGTGATGTTTGCTCCAGAGGAATTCTGATTTTCACTCTGCAGGTATTTGAGCGCCTAGAACAAGCCATGCACTGTGCAAAAAAGAGATACTTCCTGGCCTGGCGGAGTGGCTTAAGTGGTAGTGCCTGCCTAGCAAGCACAAGGCCCTGAGTTCAAACCCCAGAACTAAAAAAACAAGAGATAACTACCTTTCAGATCCTGACCATGGTCTATGGCCATATCACCCTGAACACACCCTATCTCGTCAGATTCTGACCATGTCTGTGTAAGTAGGTAGTCACAACATAAACTGTAGAAGTGGTAAAATACAGGTTTGAACAAAGTTATACAGGAGGATGGAGACAGGAAAGTTAGGGTTAGGGAGGATTCTCACTATTTAGGGAAAATTATACCAAAAGATTCTAGACTACGGCTCTGCTCTGTCTGGAGAAGTTTGTCTACTTGCACAGCTGCAATGAGGCTTTGAGATGCTATAGCACTTCATGTCCAGAATAAACTAACAATATTTAATTTGTACATATATGTTAGGATTTCTCTCATCAGATTCCATCTGGATTCATTAAAAGGGAAGTTAATCAGAGGTAATATAATGATGACTCTTTGCACACAACTAATGCAACATTAACCAATAATTACATAAACTATGCACAAATGCATTGATGACAGGCCAAAAATATAAATTTCAAAAACCAATTATAAAACTATCTACTTATCAAACTGTCCACAGAGTTATCTCTGGCAAAGGAAGTAGGAGGGGAGAGTACATGTTTTCTTTACACACTTATGCGTGTTTGAATTCTTACATAGGCCTTTGTAATTTTCCTAATTTAAAAGAACTAATTACATATTTGCAATGTAAGAAAGAAATTGTTCTGTGATATCTACATAAAACTTGCATATGCCCATAAATAAAAACAAAATAGGAATATGAAAAAATAAAAAAAGCTGGTTATATGGCATGATTCAAGATCTAGTTTTTTCTTTTTTAATTCTGCAACTGTTATAACAATATTTAAACAATGACATCTTAAAAATATTTAATTTTCTAAAAAAATAAGCTTTTAAATGCCCTACATCCAGCAATTGGTCCCTAAAAAACTGAAAGGCTGAGAATCTAGCTACACATGTCAATTTTGGAGGGCATGGGTCCCCTTTGAAGGTCTGAATGTGGAAGTGGTCTGTGCTCTGCTCAGCCCCCTGGAAATCCAAAGGAACAGTCTCACTTGGGAGTAGGGATGGAAGAGCCTGTCAGAACCTGTTGTTCGAGAATGACAGCCATGGTTTGGAGGGCTTTGAGGTTACACATTGCTTTAAGATGGAGACCATGGAGAGAGATGTCTCTTGCCAGCAAAACCATCTCCTCACTATAAAGGATGAGTTTTAACACACTGCACAAGTTTCTGTCCATGGCTTTGGGAAGAGATCCTAAATGGAAACCCTCAGTGTTTTCTCTGGCATGTGGCTTGGGAGCACCATTAATTGGCAATTGTTTCTTGTTACCCATTAGTTTTCTTTCTTTTTTTTTCTTTAACCACAATTGTGTGGCAGCTGTGTCCACATTGTGTACACCTCCATTCACCATTTATTAGACAAGTGTTGTATTGAGCAGATCCTGTGGTGGGCACCAGGGGAAGGCTAAGAGGCAAAGATGAGACAAAGTTCTTGTCTTGGAACAGCTCATAGCTGGAGAGAGAGACATTCAAACACATGATTCAACCTAGAGCATCATGCACTACAACTGAGGAATAAACAAAGTGCAAGGGAGCCAAAATACACAATGGCTGCCCCACCCCAAGACCACAGAAAGGTTTCCGAGGTAGTGTAGCCTGGTGATTAAGAGCATGGCTTTAGAATTTGAGATGACCTGAAGTTGAATATTAATTTGCCACTCACTCTCAGAGTGACCTTGTTATTTTACCTTTTCCACAATTTTCTCAATTGAAAATGAGAATACTACTACTTAGCTCACAGGCTAGTGCTTATAAGAATTAAAGGGGAAAAATATGGTACATCTTGGGCAAGCCTTTGCCTGTAATGTTCCCAAAAAATGTACCTGTGATCCTTATCATTATTAACTAGACGTTAGATGGAATGCTGAGGACTGAATAAAAGAGTTCACTATGGTAGGAAGGGAGGAAGGCAAAAAAGGGAGGAAGGAGATACCCTATGTTTTTGGTACCTCCAAAAGGCAAGGAGTTGAGCATGTGGAAAAAGGAGGCAGATGGACATACAAGTGAAGCAGAGACCAAGTAACAAAGAGCTGTGATTTTCAAATGGAGAAATTTGATTTTATTCTGAGGAAACAGGGAACCCTGTCCTCCCAATAGTCACACTCTACTATTGAATTGCATTTCTTTCTGAGTAGTTCATTTTAAAAATTATAATTATTAGTCCTTGCCTTGATTGCTCAAAGCACTGAGTTTAATCCCCAACACTGCAAATAAATATATAAATAAACAAATAAATAAATATCAATGCATGTTAACTATAAAATTAATGGGCTTCACTGTGACAGCTCCATATATGTATGTATATATTGTGCTTTGATGGTGTCACACCCTCCTGACTTCCCTCTTTTATCCCTCCCTCTCTCCCTCCTAATTAGTTCCTTTTAAAACATCATTTCTCTTCCCTTCAGGAGACATCATTTAGCTGCAAAATGAGCACTCCATGGAAGACAGTGCTCCGGCCAGCCGCCTTCCCTGAGGCTGCTGCACTTCATGTGAGTAGCTGAGTGCTAGTCCATACTTACAGACACAGTCTCTCTGGTTCTTGGCCAGCTCAAAACCAGGCCTACACTCGCAGGCGACACTGCCCCTTGGGGCCTCCTTGCAGATGTGACTGCAGCCATGATCCTTATTCATGCAGCTCAGGCCCTCTGCAAAACAGCAGCATACAGCGGGTGACCAGGCTGCGATCAGAATCCTGAGCCCCAGGGAAGCTGCAAGGGGTGGGCCACAGATGTGCTTTCCTGGGTCTTCATCAGCCCCACAATTTAAAAGAATGTGTCATTAAAATCAAGCTGGGTCAATTAATAGAGACACAAAAGATTTCTTATAATACACAAGAGATATGATGCCTTAACTGTCCTAAAGAGGTGAGGGTCTTCTCAATAAACTGGAGCTCTCTGCTTGCTGTGAGATCAGAGCCTGTTGGGCCCAGGAACAAGGACCTAGAGTTTTTATGTCTGCCATATCTTTACTCATTCACTGATCAAGAATGTAAAGAGAAAAGGAGAATCCCTCTAAGCAAATTTGCAAATAGAAAGGTTAAGACTCCCAATTTTTTCCCATTCCCTTGAAAACACTTTTCAAAAAAATGTCAACCCTCCTCTCCAACCCCACCTAATCCACACTTTCCTGGAGGTGACACATTTTGGCATCACCATGTGGACACCTGCAGGGACTTCTTTATGTGACTACTCTCAGATAGTTCATTGGCCTGTTCCTCTGACAGACAGTATCATACAATAACACAACAAGGACACAGAGAGAAAGGGGGGAGGGAGAGGGAATGAGGGAGACAGTGCTTATGCATGTGGTTCCTTCAGCCACTGTATAATTTTTTTTGATATGCTATAAATTTCTATCACGCCAAATCTGTACTAATGGTGATGGGAAAGGAGACAAATGGCTATGTTCCTGAACCGTTAAATGTGCATCTAAATGATGGAGTGCCTCACCATGAAACCAATTCATTGGGACCTTGCTGCCTGCCAGCACTCTGAAGGGATGTGTATCACACCCAGTGTATTCTAGACATCTACCAGTTGGTACTATGTTACCAAGGGCTTTTCAGATGATGTTTCTTGGTATTTATTTGTACAATACAGCTTGAAAACATCCCTGAGCGTATGGGCCTGGTTCTCATTGGCTCTCTACTAACAAAACACTTGCTAGTACTGGAAGTAGCACTGTTTTAAACATGAGTATAAAAAAGTTTTATTCAACTTCTTTAGGATCCAACTAGATCCTAGTCTTGTGCCCCTAAAACTTTAGCCAATAGGCTCTAATGGAGCCACAAGTCTCTTCTCTCTACCTCTTACCACAGAGCCCACCACCCGTGTGTCATGGGAATAGTTACTTCAACACAAACAGGTGATATTCTTATTCCAAAAGACAGCACAGCAGTAAAGATGTCCCTTACTCTCTTGGGTCTTTCCTAAAACCAGCTTGCTTTTCATCTGACAGTCCTGAGCTGTCTGTCCCCACCCCCAACCTACTGTACATTGCTAGGACTCAATGGCTCCTGCTGAAGGCTGCTGTGAAGTAGCACAGAAAGGGACTTATGCTGGATGGGTGCAGAGTTCTTTCTTTGCTCAGGCTGGTAGTTTCTGAAGATGTCATTCATTCCCCAGTACTGAGATGGTGCAGAAGGTGAAAACTGCCTCCAGAAGTGCATCCTGTCTTCCCAAGGAGACCATTCAAGCATTGTATTCCTCTTTGGGTCAGCAGAGCATTTGAAATAACTGTGCCAGAAACACTCAGGGTAAATATTACAGTGCCCAAGAACTGGAGGCAGAAGCACCTGGAAAGAATACTCCTAAACAGGTCAACTTCATCTTCATCATCTCTTTCACTCTGTTTACAGGTCTGTGAAGATGTTTGCAAAGTGACCCTTATTACACAAGAAATATTTCCTAAGAATGACCTACCACATGCAAGATGCCTTCCAGACACACAGAGAAGCTGCCTCTGACGTTCTATGGTATCAAGCTAGACCCAAAGTTAGCAGGAGGTAACAGAGGCTTAGACAACTGCAGAAATGCTGATGGCTTTTGAAGAGTGATCCCAAAGCCTTTCATAGGACCCTGACTCAAAAGTTAGCCACTGCCAGGGGAGGCAGAAGAATCTGGTCCAAATAAAAGGCCCAGAAAAGGTCCCAGCTTCCTGGGGACCTAGCCTGGCAGTCATGTCTAGAGCTGTTGGCTCATCGGAAGGGAAACATCTCAGAAACACTGCAGATGCCCCATTTTGGTGCTCCCCAGCACAGGGTTCCACTGAAAGATATTTCTGAAAATTGAATATAAAATAAGAATATGCCTCGAGAATGGGGCAAAAAACACTATGTAAAATGGGAAACAGGCTCTGTGGAGAGTAATAGCACCTTCCTCACTACCCTGACACCTTTTAACTACAAGGACAGGGCAACAGTACACCATCTGAATATTCTCAGAGCAGGCAAAACAAAAGAGGAATGCTCATTTTGAGAGCCTGAGCACCCATGAATAGGAACAAAGGCAGGCTGAAGGCGATGTGCTTCTCTCCAGCCTACCCCCATTACATGGGTGAAAACACACAATCTCTGTATCAGAGGTTTGGGAACTCTAGGGATTTTTTTTTTTAATCAATAGATTAAGCCTATTCTCAGAATCAGCTATTATTATCCCTGTTACTGAAGACTGCTTAGTAAATAATTACTTAAAAAAAAACCAAAACAGCAATAGAAAATACCAGCCGACAGCCTCACCTTCTGTTACCCATTTTTAGAGTATCAACTGGGGGTTAAAGTCTACAGTGATACAATTGCTAAGGGCTCAAAATGCACAAAGGGAGGAAGTCTTAAAGAAAAGCCATTTATGCGTTGTTCTGTTTGAAGAACTAAAACCCTAGGATGGAAGGTCTCCCTTACAAATTGCTGTAATATGGTGGTTCTCACTGACACAAATTTACCAAGCAATCAGGTTGAAACACAATAAAAAAAATCACAGAGAGCACGTCCAGGCCACTGTTTAAATTCTTGGGTTTGGTTTTTCGTTACAGACAAATATGTCCATTTGAAATACCCTTTTGGGGATCCAAGAATGTCTGAATTGCAGAAAATTTAGAAAACACAGGTTGCTGGAAGGAACTGCATTTATATTTACCTCTATCTGAGGAGCCTGGGTCTCTAATCAGTCTAGGGTCTTGTAGAAAGAAAGAGGAAAGGCTGAGCCAGGGCTCTGGAGTACAAAGCTAAGAAATTATGTGAATCCCTACAAACTTTCGGTGAGTGGGTGGTAACTATACTGGTAGCATTCAAGCAATGGCTTTACCTTCAGGTCCCTTCCTCCCTCCCCAGCCACCAGAAGAGAAAGCCAAGTGACTTTTCATGAAGCAGCTTGGAGCAACCAAAAGGAGAGACACTCTGAGATTCAGATCACTCTGACACTGGCAATTTGATTCATTCCCACCTCAGTTCTGCCAGCTTTGGACAAGACTTAAGCACACACCAGAGTCCAGAGAACCCAGCAGGAAAATGAAACTCAACCACTACTCTATCAAGAGCCACACCTAATATGAGATAAGAAATCTAGGTGATTAGAGCCAGTGTGCATGACTCTTGAATCCCAAACACTGAGAATGAGCAGACTGAGGGTGATAACAGCCATTAAGCCCACTGGTCCCTGGTGGTTTCTCTGACTATTCTTCCTAGTATACAAACAGGTATTCTTATTAGGCATAAGGTATGGGCCTTCATTCTCAGAAAATGAGACAAAATCATCTTCCAAAAAGAAACCCTGGAAAAGTCACTAAGACCATGATAAACAATAAATCTACAAATTTGTGATCAAATAGGAGAAGAACTTAAAATGACATCACCCTTAAGTTATGGGAATGAATAAGCAGCACATGCTAAGAGAAGTTAATAGTCTTAGTGTTTAGGGTGCTCACCCTAAAAACAGGCAGATTAAACCCCCCAGAGAAATACAGCCACCACACCGTGGCTCTTTGCCTTAAGAAAGAGCAGAGAAGAATTAAAAGGATGACATTCAGTTAAAAATAACTGTTTGGCCACGTGTCCTCAATACCTCTCCCTCCCAAGACTCCAACCATGTAACAGGAATTTAAAAAAAAAAAAAGGTATAAAAAATTAAAGGTATAGAAAATTAAAGGGAGTCCATCAGAAGGGAGGAGATCTTCCCGCACATTTACAGAGGAATGGTGCATGGTGACGTGGGTAAAGAATCCCTAGCATAGAGAGCCACAGTAGAGGCAAGAAGTCCTTCTGATTGCAGCCACCCCACCCAGAGCCCGAGAGGCCTTGAGTCCAAAAATGCAAATCATGAGGAAGGGCCAGCATTAACTTGGGGCTGAACACAGAACAACTCATGACTGGTCTCCATCAGGAGGATCCAGCCCCCTCCCCAGCCACCCGAGCAATACAGGCTTACACTGTACTATGGTTTTCAGCACCATTTTGAAAAACCTGGCAGATCATTCAGTCTATCTCTCCAGAGACTCCTAGTCATGTTTGAAATCCACTGAATTTAAGGAATTAGAATCAGAGGATGTTAGTGTTCTCAAGGACTTCAGAGCATCCCAAGTTGGGTACACTGATGTTGCCAAGTGAGGAAGGTGAAGGCAAAATAACTTGTGTATGGCTCTCCAGCAGCAGTCTGGACATGTCCGCTGGCTTGTAGACCTCCTGTACATTGCACTTCCCTGTTCAAGTCATCGTGGGAATGGAGGTAGGGCCCTCAGATGCAGTTCTGCCTCCCCCACCCCAGCTGGGCAAGGTACCTTCTGAGCGGTGGATGCACGTGTGCTGATTGTCACTCAGGAAAAAGCCCCCCTTGCAGCGGCACTCGTAGCTCCCCATGACATTGATACAGGTGTGCTGGCAGCCACCATTGTTCTCCAAGCACTCGTCCACATCTGGAGGGAGAGGGGAATACCTTTTGCTTTTGCGACTGTTTCAAACACTCCATCCAACTCTGTAATTCAGGGAATCCTGCTAAACAAAGGTGAAATCCCTCTTTGGGTCCACGGATCACAAAGCAGATGGGAGCATGGATGATTCACCCAGTCCTCGTAAGTCTGAGGCTCACTTAGCCAGGCCCCTGGCATGAACACAAGATAATCAGGTCAGTAAACACTGATGAAGCACCTTCACTTTCCAAAGCACAGCTGGAGATGGAGAAGATAAATCTTTCCTTCAGGAAGTTCCTTCCTGAACTTCTTTCAGGAAACGGAAAGAAACAATACACAACTGATTCTGAGATAAGGTGGGACAGAGAAAAGAGAGGTCACATCTGATAGTGTGGTATCAGCATGGGTTTTATGGTGAAAGCTGATAAAAGATGGGCCCCTGGGATTTCTTCACTTATATTTCAGGACAGAAGGGAGAGCAGGCAGAAGGGAGGCTGGGAAGCATAGAGCATACTGATGGCAGTGAGTCATTCCATTTGGCTAGAGCACAGGAGACATGGAGGGAAGTCACAGGAGATACAGCTGGGAAGATAGATTGAGGTCACACTTCGGTATCTTGAATACCAGACAAAGAAGTCTGTACTTAATTTGGGAAGCATTGGAGCAGCAGCAACACAGTCAAGCCCTTTGAGGAAGTTAAGGCAGCAGTGAGGGTAAGACACAGGGAAGGGGAAGAATAGAAAGCCTGGGAGTCCTGCTGCACATGTGCACCTGAAACAGCCCTTGGTGGGGGACAAAGCTGTGGTTGATGGGGCTTGCTGTGAAGGCAGACTTAGAAGACTGTGGGCAGACAAGGCTAGTGTCAGGGCTAGTGTCCCTTTCCATTGCTCCTTAGAGAGCAATGGAAAGTTGACAGTGAGGCATTCTAGAAAACAAACATGGGGAAGACTAGGGGTAGGTACAGAATTGGGAATGGAGACATGATTGCCCCCTCCCCACAAGGCATGGAGGGGATATGCCTGGCATGCTGAAGTTCAGGGCAGGTCCAGCAGGCAGGGGGAAAATGAGGGGTAGGAGGATAGAGAATCCAGCTTTGTGAGCACAGCTTTGAAAACCATTTGCTTGCAGATGCTGTATGAAGTTGTGAGAGAGCCAAAGTCAGGAAGGAGTGTAGGAAAGTAGAGAAAGGGGGGAAAAGAGATAGCCAGAGTTCTGGACAGTGCCAGGGGCAGGGAGGAGATAGAGAACTCCCAGATAGTAGGACTCCCAGAAGCCCTGAGGAAGGAGCTGTCAGAAAGACAGGCAGGGAGGGAGGTTTTCCTCACCTGCTTCTTAGGGGACCTGCCTTCCACTATGATAATGATACCCTGTACAAAGGGTATCATTTGTACCTAGTACAAAGCTGTACTGATTCACTTACCCAACTGCATTCTCAAAACCCTTCACCCATCCATCTCCACTAGACTGTAAACTCCTTGTGGACAGAGATTTTTGTCTTAATTAGTACACCTCTGGAACATGCAGATGCTCATTAACTAGTTAATGCATGAACAAACAAGCAGGAGAATGCAGATCACCAGAGCCAAAGAGTAAACTTCCAGAAGAGTTTCAAACACCACAAAGGCTCAAGGAGAAGGGTTATTTAAAAAAAAAAAAAAAAACAGTTTATTTTTTCCAGCCTAGTTTATCATGTGCCTATCACTGGCTCCTAGGCATATTTGTAACCAGAAAATTCACATTTAAATATCTGTTATCTGGTTTCAAGCTCAGATCTTACAGGCATCGATCCTCCCACACTACCGAGCAGATGTGTGACTAAACTGATGGGACTCCAGCCATCCCCTAAAGCCTATGTCTATGCCAAATGGCAAAGGAAGCACATTCCAGAGGATGAGCCTCTCTGGGACACACCTGGCCAAGGTGTTCCACAGAAGACTCAAGGTGTGCAGGAGAGGTCTGTTTTCCTGAGCACCACATCCCGGGTTGATTGGTTGTAAATGAGTACAGCCCTCTGAGCTGCAACACCCCCACCCACTTGTATCTTCTCTCCAAAGCAATCAACAATGTGTCATTAGGCTGGTTGACACACTGTGATGGGGTGAATACAACAGTGTGTGTTCACATTCACTGACAGGGTCAGTAGGCTGGTGATTTTCTCCAGACTACAAAACAAGGGTTCTCCACCCTGCCTATGTTAGCACCATGATGCCTGGATGCCTCCTCCAGAGTCACGGACATAACTAAATTTAGAAGCAACCTGGGCAATGATGTTTGTTAAACTTCTCAGGTGATTCAGTTGAGAATCACTGCAACGAATCTGAATCGCTCAATAAATAGGAAATGAACCCAGCGGGGTGGGCTATGTGGAAGAGCTGCATTGGCTCACAGGATGTTAGGGCACTCTGGATGTAGCGCCAGAACCCAGGGTGCTTATACTCCATATTCTGGCGAATATATTTGTGGCTAATGTGTGGTTAGGGGTCTCTCACCTCAGAGAACAGAGCTTCTTTCTCACCACAGTGTGTTGATCCTTCCAGTCTGGGTGACAGGGTCCTGCTCTTCCAAATGGCCTTCACCTTTTCCTGTCACCCTTTGAAGGAATTCTTAGCCTATGCTCGATCCCTGGTCAGGGGATGCTCAGGATCTGTGCAAGGCAGACTCTTGCCACCGAGTCCACAACAAGACCCCAGAGAGGGGAAACAGATACTACACTGAAACATCTGTGCCATCCCCTAAGCCAGGCAAGTCTGTAGATGTGGGATTTCTGAGCAGGCCTGAAATCTCTGTCTCTGTCTCTCTCTCTCTCTCTCTCTCTCTCTCTCTCTCTCTCTCTACACACACACACACACACACACACACACACACACTTGAATGTGAGCCCTGAGGCTCACAGCACAACCATAATGACCGTCAGATAAAAATCCTCAAAATGTCACTGTTGGCAAACCCAAGGGAAGTTCCTCCCTGAAGTGGAAAACAAAACAAAACAAACAAAAAACCCATCCAGTGTACTTCCCAACAAATCACCCACAGCCTGAACTCTGCTATAGGGCCCAGACAGGAAAGGATAGCACCAGGTGATAAAGAGGTGGGACAAAGGTCACATTGGAGTTGAGTCTCAAGGGCAAATACTCCCCTCCCCCAATCCAGAGCCCCACCACTCAAAACACAAGTTCTACCCGGACTTTTCTAGGGCCCCTCATGCTGATCTCAAGGCATTTGATCAAGTGACCATTCCTATCACACCATAAAGGCGTATTTGAATAGCTGTCCCCACTGAGCCATAGCCTGGTTCAAGTTGTCCTTAGTTGGCCAAATAGACACCATCAGGTCAACCACATGCAGGGTCATCAGCGTCAAAGACCCTCATAACATGTGTCTTCCATAATATTAGCTTTAAAAAGCAAACCACGTGTGATGGTTCATGTCTATAATCCCAGCTATTTGGGAGGCGGAGACAGGAGGGTCTCCAGTTCAATGCCAGCCCAGGGAAAGGCAGTATAAGTGGTGGTGGTGATGGTGGTGCAGAGGCTTGGGTGTAGCTCAAGCCATTGCCTAGCATGCTCGAAGTTCTGGGTTCAATCCCCATTACTGCAAGAACAACAACAAAAGCAAACTACAAATACCTACCTGCCAGGTGTACTTGCATCTGCAAAGACCAGCCTGCACTCAACCCTAGCCAACTGCTTGCTATTTCTAAGCTTGATTTTATTCTTCACATAAGGAACCAATAAAAATAATACTCTTCAAGGTTGCTAACTCAGGGACTGAAACGCCAACAGATGTGTCTGTTTTCATGGAATACTAGGAGGCTATTCATGGAAAGTTTCTGCTTGCTTTTCTCTGTCTTTCAAGAAAAAAGGGGGAATCTATCTGGCTATGACCCAAGCACACATTTGAAGTCTTTAGGACAAGAAGTTCTACCTAATTTCAGAATAAAGTCACTTAACAGCATTAAAGAAATGGTTATACACCAAGATCCTTTCAACACAAGACTTAAGATCTAAATGGTGGAAAGCCAATGTCAGAAAATCAAGAGAAAATGATGACAATGTCCACCCATCTCCTTGGATTAATGAAGGATTTATGTTAAAAATTGTCACATAAAAACTAAAATGTGCTTACTTGGTTTATATCAGGCAGTCTCTTTTTTTAAGATTTTTTGAGACAAGGTCTCTACATAGCCCAGACCTGCCTCACACTCTTAATCCTCCTGCCTCAGCCTCCCTAGTGCTGGGATTACGAGTGTGTAACACCACTCCCAGCCATAGTATTCTGATTTCCAAGCAATCAAAAAACACACAAGTCTTTGATCCCCCTTTTGTCTTAACAAGTATGTTTTCACCAATGGAAAGAAAGGGGTGGGGATGTAGAGGGTGGGGAGGGGAAAATTGCCAAATGGTTCCCTTACCAAGACAATTATGACCATCATGAGCCAACATGAAGCCATCGAAGCAAGTGCAGCGATAGTTGCCTGGAATATTCAAACAGTCATGGACACAGCCTCCGTTGAGTTCATTTTCACATTCATCAATGTCTGAGGAATAAAGCAGAAGTAAACCAAACAGATGTTATTTCTTCAGGCGATGTCTGCATCTGCCTTTTAGACAGTTATTCAATATCTCAAAACCCACCCCAAAATGAGAAAATAAAAATTCACAAGGATATTTACTGCTACATTATTTGAAATCATAAAAGTACATATTCAGAAGAACAATTTAATGAACAATGTTTGTTGGAATACTATGCAGCTGTAAAAAAGAATGAGGAAAATCTATGAATTAATGTGAAGTAGCATATGCTATTATATGGAAAATACCAAAATGTAAAAGAATAACTGTAGTACATTATATTCAAGTAATAAATAAGAGGATGCAAAAACACACACAAAATTTCAGCATACTTTTTCCAGAACTTGATAAAATTATTCTAAAATTTATATGGAAATACAAAAGACTCAGAAGAGCCAAAACAATTTTGAAGAAGGACACATTTAGAGGAATTTAACTTACTATAAGGCTATACTTACCAAGATAGTGGATACAGAGATAAAGAGACATGTAGATCAATGGAATAGAGCTTAGGGTGTAAAAATAAACATTTTGTTTTGTTTTCTTGCCGTGCTGGGGATGGAACCTAGAGCCTTGAGCATGCTAGGCACTCTACCACTGAGATATATCCCCAGCCCTTAAACCTTTTATTTATGGTCACTTGATTTTAGACAAAATTGATAAGGCAATTCATTAGATAAATAAGTCTTTTCAACAAATGGTACTAGGATAGTTGAATATCCATATATAAAAAAGATGACTTTAGGGCTCAGCCTTTCTGAGAGTCCTCCCATACAGGGACTTTCTCTTTTCCTCCTCTCTGCTTAATAAGTCTTTGCTCTTTCGCAAAAAATAAAAAAATAAATAATGACTTCAGATCCTTACTTCACCATACCCACAAAAATCAACTCAAAATTGATGAGAAACCTAAATGTAAGAGCTAAAACTATAAAGTTGTGTCGGGGGGTTGTTTTTCTTTTTGCTGTACTAGGGCTTGAACTCAGGGCCTACACCTTGAGTTATTCCACCAGCCCTTTTTTTATGAGGGTTTTTTTTTTTTTTTTGAGATAGGGTTTCTTGAACTATTTGCCTGGGCTGGCTTTGAATCACAATCCTCCTGATCGCTGCCTCCTGAGTAGCTAGGATTACAGGTGCTCTGCAAACTATAAAGGTGGTAAGAGGAAATATATGAGAAAGGTCTCTGAGATCTTGGGCGAGGTAAAGATTTCTTTGATACAATACCAAACATGCTATCCATAAATTTAATGTGCTTTATCAAAATTTAAAACTTTTTCACCTCAAAAGACATCATTAAGAAAATGAAGACAAGCCACAGATTGGTAGAAAATATTTACAAGTTATATATCTTATAAAGGGCCTACAACTCAATAATAAGATGCAACTCAATTTAAAAATGGGCAAGAGATTTAAACAGACATTTCACCAAAGATGATATCCAACTGAAAATAAGCACATGAACCAGGCGCCAGTGGCTCACACCTGTATCTTAGATGTTCAGGAGGCAGAGATCAGGATTAAAGCCAGCCCAGGCAAACAGAGAGATCCTATCTTGAAAAAACCCATCAAAAAAAAAGGGCTGGTGGAGTGGCTCAAGTGGTAGAGTGCCTGCCTCGCAAACATGTGACCCTGAGTTCCAGCTCCAATACCAAAAGGATGTGGATAAATGAGGACCCTAACACATTGCTGATGGGAATGCAATCGCTGGTGGAGTGCATGGTTCAGAATTATTAAATCATTCATAAATGTGTGCAATCACCAGTACCATTCATCTCCATAACACTTCATCTTGTAAAACTGAAACTCCTTTTTACCTAATTTTTCCCTCACTCCAGCTCCTGGCAACCACCATGCTCCTTTCTGACCCTTTGGTTTTCACTACTCATGTTCTCATATCTCAAATACGTGGACTCATACACTTTGTGTCTTTTTGCGACTGGATTATTTCACGTAACATACTACAAGGTTCATCCACACTGTAGCACGTGACCAGATTTCCTTCTTTTTTAGGATGAATACTATCCCATTGCACATTGCCACGTTTTGCCTATCCATCAGATGGACACTTCAGTTACTTCCTCCTTTAGGCTCTTGTTTGGCTACAAACAAAGGCATAAAAATATCTCATCCAAAACTCTCCTATTGATCCTTTGGAGTATATATCAAGAAGCAGAACTGCTGGATCATGTGATAATTCTGTCTAACTTTTTGAGAAACCACCATACAGTCTTCCATGGTATCTACACCACCTCACGTTCCCCACCAACAGTGCACAAGGGTTCTAATTTCTCGACATCATCCCAACATCTATTTTCTGGGTTTTTCTCTCCTTTGATGGCAGCTATCCTAATGAGTGCAAGTGGTATCTCACAGTTTTGATTTGCATTTCCCTAATCATTAGTGATGTGCACCCTCTTTTCATGTATTTATGGGCCAATTGCATCTCCTCTTTTGAGAAATGTCTACACACATTCTTTGCCTACTTTTGAACTTGGAATTCTCTATATACTCTGGATATTAATCCCTTATTAGATATATGATTTGAAAATATTTTCTTCCATTCTGTGAGTTACCTTTATATCTGTCAATATTGTATTTTGATACAAAATTCTAAATTTTTTCCATGAAATCCAGTTTTTCTATATTTTTACTTGTTGTCTGTGCCTTTGATGGCACATTCAAGAAATCATTAGTTTGACAATTTCAAAAAAGGTTAAACATGAAATTATTATGTGACCAACAATTCCATCCGTAGGTATACTTTACATCCAAAAGAAATCAAAATTATATTCACAAAAAGATTTATATATAAATGTTCCTAGCAATATTATTCACAAAAGTCCTCGAGTATAGACAATCTAAATATCCTAGACTGGATGTGGTCACTCACTCCTGTACACATAACTGCAAGGGAGGCACAGGTAAGAAGACCATGGTCTGAGGCTGCTCCAGGCAAAAATGTGAGACCCTATCTGAAAAATAACTAAAATTAAAAAGGGCCGGGGGCATGGCTCAAGTGGTAAAGCACCTGCCTAGCAAGTGAGAGACTCCAAATTCAAACACCAGTACCACCGACACAATAAATAAATAAATGTCCAGGTGGTGAGTGAATAAACAAAACATGGCAGATCTATACAACAAAACACTATCCAACAATAAAAAGGAATGGATGCTGACACAGGCTACAACACGGATGAACTTCAAAAGCATTGTGCATAGTGCTTATTCATGTGCTTATTTGTGCAAAAGACATAAAGGAAGGATAAGCCAGAAACTACAGATTGGTGGCTCCCAAGATGTGGGGACAAGAGTTAAAAGGAGGCATGGGAACGGAGTTATAGGAATGAGGGAACCGTACTTTGAAGGACACCTTTCTGTATAGCTTAGATCTCAGAACCACAGGGATGTTTTACAGGCCTGCATACGCTCATATACACAGACACAAGGACACCACCAACCAAGCGGCAAGGGTGGGAGGGGATAAGAAATGAAATGCAAAAAGAAACAAATGAATCAAATGTCTTATAAATTAATAACATCACCACACTAAAAGAGATGGGAAAGAAAAGTACTAACCTAAAGAACTGAAAAGCGACATTTTGACTGGAAGTCATACCAAAAACCAAAAATAAATGTATGTCATACTCTAGTTAATAAACACTGTACTGTAGTTAGCAAGTCTGTTTTATTCACAGGATTTATAGCTCAGTAATTCTGTAAATACTTTATGTGTATACTAGGATTGAATAAAGAGGTAAATACATAGCAGTAATGACAGCCAGGTTTCTCACTGCTGGAGAAAGAACTTATGAATAAGCAAAAGGGAAGATGAGGATAAACCTTGTGGCACTTGTATGGAATCCAAAGTGTCTGTATAACCAATTGTTTTACACAGATAGATTTATATAGATATCTATACAGAATGACAGATGAAATGAAAATCTAGGTTTATGTGCATGTGTGTGTGTATACATACATATTTTTCCTAGTTCTGTGCACTGAGAAAGACTACGGACAATGACACCCAGTAGAAATGAAAACGCCAAACACCCAGATCCAGTTTTATATACAATTATCCAATCAAGGGAGCCAGAGCTTATTGGAAAAGTGGTTGATTCCAGAGCCAGGTAACAGAAAATTTAAGATGTTTCCAGAGTATCTTGTGGTAGCAGAAAATTAGGAAATGACAAAGGGATCAATGGGAAGAAGCTCCCAATGGTTGAAGTTGAGCAATTTAAAAATAATGATACCCCAGGCTGGTGGAGAGTCTCAAGTGGTCGAGTTCCTGCTTAGCAAGAGTGAGGCCCTGAATTCAAATAGCAGTACTGCCAAAAACATAAATAAATAATAATATTAACAATGATACCACAGTACTGCCAAAAATAATGACAGATATAATAAAATCAATACCCATAAGTCTTTAGTGGAATAAACGAGTGACTGGATAAATGAAGGAGAAAGGGCAGATCTTCCTTACAGAGAAATTCTAATTAACAGGTGTATAAGGAATGAGGAGAATACAAAAATTACCAGTAGGCACATATTAGAGTAATGACTGTTGCAAGCAAAGTCCACAGTTGGATGCTACCGTCAGTGTGCTGAGTTGAGGGGAAACAGAATATTGGCATGGTCTCAGATAGCTTCCCTAAAATATATTTCAAGTGTAAAGGAGAGAAGTATTAACTTTGTGGTGGAGAAACCAACAGACTCCATCTTAATCAGATGATCAAGGTTAACATCACCAGGAATGGGACATGGTGACATCATATATCCCTGATGTGATTGACGCACTGAAAAGGACCCAATGAAGCTTCTGTGGTAACCTTACCAAAAATTCATAACCCCAACGGTATCATGAGAAAACACAAGACATTCTCATGTCAATTCTTATCACGAGAAAGTATAAGGCAACAAATGGAAAGTGTCGATGTCATGAAAGACAATGAATGATTGAGGAACTGTCACAGGC